AAATTGAAGTTATCAGGACAAAACCTTTTTGAAGTTGCAGCTATATTAGCAAAGTATCTACAAATAGAAAAAAATCCTTACAAATATTTCTTCACTTTTAAATGAAAGATTGGTGCTGTTAGATGGACTGTACTTCACACAGCTTAACTTCAGGTTAACTTAGCTTAACTTAGACACCTGGAGGGAGCAGCTGGTGGCACTGGAGGTGGAGGTGCCCTGAGTGGTCTGCGGAGATACCTCCCTCTCATCTGCTTCTCCACAGAACCTAGGCTCCTGCCTTTGGAGTACGGTTCAGGCCACCTAAGTTGAAGCCTAAAGCAGAGGTGAAGTGCTCCCAAATAGGTACTCATTAAGAGTCAACAATGTAACATCAAAAATCGGGATATCCAAACTTTGCCATAGCATTCCTCACAGCAAGAACGTTTTTCTTTCCCCCAGGAGAGTTTAGAGTGAATGAATGTTGCTTCTGGATATTAATACATATATATATATATATATTTTTGCTTTTCTAAATGCATTCTGCACCTAGCATGCTGATTATACATTTTCCTTCTATTCATGTGTAACTGTTGTCCGATATGGAGTAATACAACAAAAGTGCTATATCTCAATGTTCAGTTCAAACCAGACTTTCACTATATATCGTCAGAACTGTAGGCGGAATTGTAGCTTAGTTAATTTGAGTAAATGTTTTAGTTATTAACAAATGTAGGAACTGTAATTTAATAGCATAACTTTTGAAATAACTTTGTTTGAAAGGCGTATTTCAAAGGATAGACAGCACTAGGTTTTAAATTCTATTTGAGAAATGTGCAACCACCAGTTTCTCATAATGTATCTTTTCCTGACTAGACCTTAAAGACAGATGTTCCCCAAGGTTTCTATTTTTTCATAGCTGCTCACTTGTCTAGTTGGGTCTCTTGTGCAGAACATGGCAAACTCCGGTCAGTTCACTGGATCAGAACTGAACTGGCATTTCCTGCTGGCCACCAGCAGGCCAGTAGCATCTTCCTGTCATTGGTGCTGCCTTGCTGCCCACACCTCACGCTGCTGAGCCAGCCTGAAGAAGAGCTGGCTCTGGTGGGAGAGCTGGCTCATGCCCTCCGTGGCATGTTCTGCATCCTGTGTCACGGGGTCAGGCTGTCGCTGAGCACGATCCAAGCGAAATCAGTGACCCAGCTCTAACAGAAGCGGTGAAACGGGTGGTGGGAACCTGTGAGCAGTCAGGTGAAATGAGCAAAACAGGCCTCTGCAGGATTAGAAACCAAGTGCCAGCTAAGACCCATGTGAGAATTCCGCAGGTGATTAGGCTCCTGTCCCCACGGTTTTGTAATGAGATCTTGGAAGCTGAGCTGCTGGTTTGTTGTTGGGTTTTTTTGTTTGGGTGTTTTTTGTTGTTGTTTTGTTTTTGTGGTGTTTTTTTTTTTTTTTTCTGGTTTTTTTTTTTTTAAATAATTCTTTTAATTAAATAAAAAAACTTGCTCAGAGATGCATGTAAAAATTTAAATATACTTTATTTCTGCTACTATAATGGCTGGAGTTCCAAGGGGTTTTTTTCTTGAGGTCTGGACCCAAACTTAGTGGCTATGCCTGTGCCGTGTAGGAGTGGCAGCTGTAATTATCAATCACTTTCACATGCAGTCTGTTTGTTGCAGAGAAATTGAGTGCTGTAGATGTGACATTTACTTTGCATTTGTTAGCATGAAACCTGGAATTCAACCAGTTTTCTGACTTCAGAGCTCATACATTTCAGTATTGTTTCTCTACGTCATAATCTTAAGTAGTGTTGTATGCATGGTTTTGTGTTTCCTTATTAGCTGAGTGAGCTATTTATTCTGAAGAGACAAAAACACTAGACAGTTTTAAATATTAAGCTCAATTCTTTTTCCGAAGGGGAGAAGTCCCAGAAGAGCACAGAAAGTATTTAAATTTGCAAGGAACAACTTGTTCTCACTGCGTGTTATTCTACATATTCCCCATAAAAGGACCTCATAAAGTGAATTAATAGTGGCCGAGTTTTGTTTTGTTCTTAGTGACAGCTTAAAAGCAGTGGCTTTCAAAATGATTCTCTTTCCGGTTGTGAATTCTGCAGGGATCGCTGAAGCAGGCGGCAGGGGCCCTCCTCCAGCGGGAGGAGCGCAGCCCAGCGCGGCCCCAGCGGCCGGGCCGCAGTTTGCCGGGGGCAGAGGGGAGTGGCGGGACTGCCCAGCAGCATTCAGGTGTCAGGGAGCCGGGCCTGCCCCCCTCGCAGCTGCGAGCTGCGCAAGTGTCACGGGAAGCCCCCAGCTGCTTCCATGGGATGTCCCAGAGAAGGAACCACCATCAGGAGCCACCAACACAGGGGTCAGGAGGGGTAGCACACCTGGGCTCTCACCCCTTACAGAGCAGGAAGCAGCACACATGGAAAGACCTTGCCCTCCCTGCCCCTTCCCTTGCTCCTAGGGCAGATGGTCCGAAATGCATCCCACAGCGTCTCCACTCTGCCCGCTGGTGCCAGCATGTCCCTCAGACTCAGTGCCACACTACTGCACTCCATGCATCAGGAATGGCCCTGAAGTTTACTAGTGACATTCCTGCACACTGAATAACATTTCAAAAGAAGTGCAAGAGCCTATTACGCTATTGCATTCTGTCCTGTATTAGCACCTCTTACAAAACATCCAAGTCTAGGCTAGTTAATAACATAAAAGCTTAATTTGCTTTCTTACATTATCTAAAGGTGCATCTGATTTTGCTTTTACTCTTAAGTTAATCATAATTAAAATAAAGCCCTATTGTTCAACGTATCCTTATACTCAGCACCAATGTAACAGCAGAATTCACCATCTCCAATTGAAAAAAAACAAAAACACCCACAACATTGACAAGTTACAGTTGGTAAACTATGAAATGAGTTACAAAGCAAGCCACACAAGCGTAACTAACCCATGGCACATGGTAACTTCACAAAGGCAGCCACAGGCCAACCATCATCAGAGCGCTAACTCAAAAGGAACATCTGTTCAGGAAGGGCCTTTTCAAACAAAAGACCAAGATTCAGCGATGAGGACGCTCAAGCCAACAATCACTTGCCTAAACAATCCAGAAACTGATTCTTTAGCTTCCCCCTGACTCTCACCCATAAAACAGGAAACTGAAGAAACAAAACTATTTCACACCTGTAAGAAATGCCCTAAGATGTTAAGTTTTCCCCATGTTTTTATGGGTAACATCAACCTGTTCCGTTCTTTTAGAAAGCTGGAGAACACAATATCTGAGGAATTCTTGGATGAGAGTGATTGTGAATGTTTCATTGACTTAATCATAATTCTGTGTAAGGAATCAAATAGCCTGTATTATCCAGAACCCTCTCTCAGCATGTGGTATATTTTAATTTTCAAATGAAATGGCACAACCACACCAATTTAACATCCACTTTAATAAATTCAAGTTTAATGTGGTAAGCCTTCCAAAAGCGTGATAATTTATTGCTTTCTGTACAATTTAAACAGATGTAAATAACTGATCTTGGACAGAGTATACTCACGTTTTTTAATGAAGTGCTCAAGAACAGGTTAAGCACTGTAATAAAATTTCCCTTTTTTTAAGCTAGCACTGAGTAGCCTCTTCTTTCCTCTGCAAACACCAGAATTAATTACATATAAACACACAGCAATGGTGTAAAAATGGACATTTATTACAACTAAACCAATGTGACAGACAGAGGTCAAACAGTTTATTTGTCACAACCACAAAAAAGCTTAATCCAGCCAAGCACACACAGGGGACAGTGTAAACTTTAAAAACATGTTTGATACATATAAAATTGCTTCAGGTGTGACTTAACAGTACCACCTCAACTTCACACACACAGTCGCTCCGCTACCACTTTATCCTCATCAATCCCTGCACATTGGGCACTGGGGAAATGCAAACAGCTGCTTCTGCGTGCATACAAATGGTCTCTAGTGATCTTAACGTCTTTAAACACTTCCCAGGGACCGCGCCGACACACGGCAGAACTTGGCTACACCAGTGTGGCACTACCTCCTCAAAACTCAAAAACGTACATGAATCAAGTGTCTTCAAGTGAAACTGGTTTAGTTTATAACAACTGAAAGTCTGCTCGAAGTGTCAAAATATTACTCGATACCACTTTACACGACTTGCAGTGAAGCTACTATACTAATCTAACACTTAAAAGCTCTCACTGCAAATTAGTTGGTTCCACTGCACATCATGCAGCAGTTTCATAAAGGATGTCACATGTTAAAGGTGTAAGTTAAGAAAAGCAGTTAAAGTGACATTGACACTTAGTGTGTGGGGCGTTTTAAAGGTACCTATATATCCATTGAAGTATAACTATAAAACACCAATAACACAAATTTCTAGAGTTTGCAAGAAAATAACAGAACGTCCCTTTTTGTAAAGCTCCTTCTTTCCCCATCTTCAAAAGTATCCAATTTTCATTATTCACCTCGTCTCTATGCAGACAGAAAGCCTATCTCCTTCCTTATACTTACATCAGACCTAAAAATAGTTTTATTTGGATTTTTTTTTTTTTAAATAGATGCGTTCCCTTTTTAGTATAGTAACTTGCACAGTTTTGCTCAAGGTAGCTACACTTCATTTCTAATGAGTTGAAGAGTATGCAGTTTTCTTCCAAAAAGCAGTTATCACCTTAACAGTTTTTACCAGTTTGATATGCAGATCCTAACAAGATTCTTTGGTATCATGACAAATTCAGTAGTAAACAGGTATTTCCAATCTTTATGCATCAACTGAACTAAGCAGAATTACCACAAATGGCGACTAAAACGCAGATGAACAAAAGTCTTTGGTTGCATAAACACAAATTTTGCTACACCAGAACATTTCATATTTGGAGTTGTCCATGTAGGTTCTTTTCATTTAGATATGCTATGTCATGATGATACATTTATTTCCTGAAGTCAAGTTTGCTTATAAAAAACAGTACACTTGAAGTCAAATGCAATTTTCCTATAAATACAGTGAGTCAATTTAAATCTAATTCCCTTTCCTTCATGTTTTTTGGACTTTTGTTTTTTGTTTCCTTTTCAAAGGAGTATTTTTCTTGTAGGCCTGAATGAAGCAGCTTAGCAAAACTGTAATACTGACAAACAGCATCTTACACCATTAGCTAAACATTACAATGAAGGCAGTGAACATTTACAGTATGAAACACTGAGACGTCATCAGCTGAAGTGAAGATTTATGTCAATCCAATCTCTTCAAGTACACTACGAGGGGTCTCTGCTTCCTACGGAGGGAAAATTTGAGACAGTGGTAAATGGACCCTGTGCTTCTACTGAACAGTACCCTACATGCGTTAGTATGAAAGATGCTTAATTAAAAATAAAAGCTGAAAGACAGGAAAACACAGTACTACTGCAGTTTGCAAACATGGTATTAGCTGCACTTTGAAAAGAGCTGTTAATTAGATTGTCATGGTTCACAGGAATAGCTGGTAGATTTTATTGCCCTTAAGCGTAATAAAAATAAAGCAATTCAGATGTACCAGCAGGGAACAAATCACAGCCCAGTAACAGAGAGGAACTGGGGAGGGATGAGGAAGCATCTTGCAATGGAGTCAGTGATTTGTGTGGTGAACTTTTTCATGGGTCTCAAAAATCTGCTAGGGAAGAACTAGTAAATTGATGAATAAAATCACTGATGCAAGTCAGACACAGTATCCCTTACACTCTTTATGAACAGTCAAGAGTTTCTACACCACTCCCATGCTTAGTTCCTACAACCAGGTAAAGGGACCCTGGCACACCTCAAACTGACCCCTACAGAAGTGGGGCAATTGCCAGGATTGGAATTATATTATTCCACACCAGGCATTAGGTTTTAGGTTAATTCTAATCTTAAAATCTTTATTTAGATTCAGAGTAATTTAATACAAAATTCCAAAGATTTATCATCAGTTTTGTGTTCATTATTCCTATAGCATCGGAAAAGAAACAGTAATTAAATTGGAAACCTTAGGCTGTCCTTTTCCATAATTATTAACACTGACAATAAATAAAAAGGGATACTGTGACCTTATGAAAACAAACAGTTTTAGTATCCACAATATGAATAAACTTACTTTAGCATCCTAAAACAAGACATGTCACGAAGCAGAAAAAAAGGCAGATAATAGTTAAGGCAGCAAACATATTTCTCCACTGCATTCTAAATATTTTTTAAATTGTCAGTAAAATACATGATTAAACATCTTAAATACCATGAATTAACACCAGAGTACTGTCTCTATCAGCCTGGACTACATAGCACAAAATCATCGAGTTTACAATCCTCATTCAGTTCATGTATAAAGTGACTTAGTATTGAAGGAACCAACTATGGTATTTTAAAGGCAGCTTCATTTGGGAGTAAGTCAGGGCTTGGAGCAGGCCACCTGTGAGCACTTTGAGATGGTTCCCAAAATCCAGCAGTAAATAAGAAATTGCAAAAGCTAAAATTAGAAACAAGTTACATGGTGTATTAAAAGATACAGTAGGGTGGGTTTGTTTTGTTTTGTTTTGTTTGTTTTTTTTTTTCTCCCTCACTGATGGAAAATTTAAATATTCTTAGAACTGCAGTGACCTTGATAAAGACAGACAAGATGGCAGGATTAAACATTTACGTGTATATTTTAGCACAAAACCCCCAGAAGGAGACACTGATTAAGGAAAAGGCTATATAGCATTTTTAATAGAACTTGTCATACTATATTCCCAGATTACTTTACTGCATCTCTCCTATTCACTAATTTTAAGCATTTCAATTAAAAAAATCCTATATTGTGAACTGTAGTACAGAACTTAAAGCAGAGAATATAAAATCTCAAGCATTTCAGAATTTTGAAAATATTTGTAATAAAGCAACTTTTTCACAGTTTTAAATTGATTAGACAGCAGTGGACACGTACAGTTACTAAGTGGAGGAACAGGATATATACAAAATTACCTGAAAAGAAGCTGCTCAGTAGCTAAAAAGGAATACACTGCACTGCTGCTACTGTCTTAGAGGAGTTCAGTATTGTCTTCACTGCCAACTCAAAGCCAGAGGTAATTTTCAACAGGCATATGCTTAAAGGTTAAATTTCCTCAAGTAAATCAAGGTGATTGGCTAACAATTAATTTAAAGCAACATATTTCAAGGACATTGGCTCCTTGACCACAGAAACTTCACCGGCAAAACTACATAAGATTTTAATTTTTTAATACTACAGCAGTAACCCTGAGGCAGACATGCCTTCTTATGTGCATGTCAACAACAGACTCGAAAGGAACACCTAAAGGCCAATGTGTTTTGCTAGAGGAATAATTCCATCAATTATGACATTTAAGAAACAAACAGAATGAATTGTTCCCATTATTTGTTTTAGGAAGTGTCAAACACTTTATCCAATTGTTATGGAAAACATTCTGAGGTATTATACACTACCTGCAGCTCAGAATCACCCAAGGCAAACAATGCAAATTTGAAATACATCAGCACACAGATGAGGGGAAAAAAAGTAATTCACATGAGACAAAAGTGCATGCAATACTTTATTTCAAACATGCCAGGAAAGCTAATTCATTACCTAGTCATTTAGGAGCAAGCAGCTGTATACAGATAACAAGAAAAACAGCATCTCATTACAGCTCAATGCACAGCATTTTAAGCCAACAGGCATGAAATAATGCAGGCTAAAGCAGCATTAACCAGACATTCAAACACACTGTTAATGTCTTACAGAAAAAAGGCAAACTTGGAAATGGAAAACCACTCCTATGCTCTTGTTTTCTAAGATGTCAGAATGCTGCAAGTCCAATCCAGATCTTTTGTCTAAACCTCCAAGCCTCCCATTTTTGTGTCAGTTTAGAGTTTGAAAGGTAGTGCATTACCACATATAGTACATGGAACTAGCTGTTTGTGGTTAACCTCAGCAGCCACCTCCTTGCTAATTACATTTAAACAATTTTCAAAACCAGAATTGATTTTAGGCTACAAATTACTCTCTTCTACTAGGCAATGGAGATGCAAAACATACCCTCTCACTCTGCCCATGCTTTTTAATTGAAAGATACTTATCATACGCACCCCCATGGCAGTTCTGATATACAAGGTAGACTGCACTTCAAACTGGAATGCCAATTGAAGGAGACATATTTCAAGTATGCTTTTAATACACTTAAAAAAAAAAAAATCTTTCCAACCCTAACCATTTGTAAAACACTGAACTTGTTCTCTCCTTCAGTAGCAGCAATTGTTCAACTACTCACAAGAGTGTTTTGAACATTTAAATACAAATGCTGTAACTCAGACCTACATAAATTGTTCTCTCTGCCCTAATCAGTTCTGTCTTCATCCTCTTTATAAGGTGTCACATTGTCATGTCAGTCTCAGAACAGGATACTAGTATGTGCATCTTTAACTAAGATGCAAGGATTGTGTAGAATTGTGTGTAACATTTCACATACTACTACTCCTTCACTAGTTTATATGTAAATAATAACTTTGTCTACATCTTAAGTGTATGTTAAAATACCACTACAACTAATTTGAAAGATAAACACAGGTCAAGTAATATTACAGTATATGCGTTGCAGTATATAGTTGTTTAGCTCAGAAAATTCTACAGAACTTTTAAGCATAAGACTTCAAGCTTACACACAATAAAAAAGTTAAACCATATGCCAACAAGCAGAAGTTTTGTTGAAGTGAGACATGTGAAGAGACAACACTGCAAAACAGAGGGGGAAGAGGAAAGTACAACAGCAGGGGATGGTTGTGGTATTCTATTAGACTCAAGATGACTGGATTCACCAAGCTGATGATAATGTTCTGTCATGAGTAAGTCACAGGTTTATCTCCTCTGAAATTCTGCATGCATGATGAATGAAGCCATTTAGTACACTGGGACATTAAAGTATTCATGACGTGGCTACAAAAGAAATGTATACATTCTTATACGTAACAAAAAGGTGGACAGATATGCAAGAAAACCAAAATATCTCATTGTATCTGTGACATGAAAAGGACATTTGATACAGAAATACAATACTGTATTTTTGACTGCTCCAGACCTCTGGGGTGGGATGAGGTGGGGGAGAGGGTGGGCAGGGAAAACCATTGTTTTACCTCTCCTACACCTGCACGCTGGGTCCAGCAACATACAGGACAACATCACATCATAACTACTGTATTCCATAAGCTCAGTGTCTCCTCCCAGCCAAAAAAAGCTGTCTGAAGCTGAGATACTGTTCCAGAGATGGACCACTCTCTCTCTCTGTGTCCTGGTCTGGTCTCTTTGGTAGACGCCGACCACTGGCTGGTGTGAGAGAGCAGGCGCTGGGCTAAGCGAGCGTCTGACACCCCCCTCCACATCTGCTCTGATAACCGCCCGGGGTGAGCAGCACCCTCCCAGGCACTGCAGCACTGCCTCGACTCCCAACCAAAATTAGCTATCAAACAGTGCCTGTTTAAAAGAAAAAAGGTAGCTATCCGAGATAACTCTCACAGCAGGCAAAGTTTTCTTTGCTTTTGAATTACACCACTGAATTTAATCCTCTGTTGTGTTATTAGCATGAATGCTAGTATATCATTTGTTGAAAGATGAGTTAGAAAGCAAGCAATACTCAGGTGTTTTTTTTATTATTAAAATCAGTGTCATTGAAGACAGATGAGGATATTTTTAATGGAGTAATAACAGTTTAGGAGTATCAGCCCCACATATGCCCATTACACATCATCTGGGAGGGATTAAAAAAAAAGCACAAAACTCAGTGCATACCAGTTACCGTCCTTCATAATGTACCAATTAAAATCTTCCATCTAGTTTAGTATCCCACCCTGCAAAATTACAGAAGTCTTACAAAAAAGCTGAAAAATTTCCCGTAACTTCTACACCCAACGACAACTTCCTTTGTGCCATCTCATTTTATTCACATGCTCAAGCTTGTATATTTTTAAATTCTAATTTCCAATTACCAAAGAAAAAAAAAATACACACAAGAATGTCCTAGAAGCTTTACAGGGTTTATACTGCTTTTCAGTATTGGTAATCTGAGAATTATTCCATAGTAGTTAAAATTATTCTGAAAAAGCCAACTACAAATCCAGGAGTTCTCAAACTAATAGCAGCTATAGCTCACCAACGGTTGCAAACAAGCTGTATGAAGTGTACTGTGATTTCCAGTAGAACTCAAAAGAATTTGATATTCAACAGAGAATTACAAATATGAATTTGAAGTCAAGTGTCAGCCTGCATTAAAAACAGAA